TATGATGATAACAAACAACATGACGAGAACAAATAATGAAGAACACTAATTTTGCTTAAGAAAGTAAAAATGTTTTCCGTTCTCGATTTTCCTGCACTCAGCGTCCTGGTGCTTATTTCATGGTAAAATATGACACAGATAGATAACAGTTTCATTTTATTCTTGTTTATGTAACATTATACTGATTTGAAATAAAATGAAGTAGTTTTAAGATAGTACAGTAGTTATAACAACTTAGGCTCAGTACGGGTTCCGAAAGTTCATATGTAAAAACGTTCTTAAATCGTTAAACAGAGAGTGCCATAAGACTCAGCGTGGTCGATAACCCTTGTCTAGAGTTATTTGTGAGGCTCACATGAGTGAGAAAAGACCAGTTTTGGAACTCCCAGGAAATTCGATGCCTGGCCTAAGCGATCGAAGATGAGAGCCTCGCTTGACTGTCATTTTGAAGAGGATACTTTGGACTATCTAAAAAAATCAAACCATTTGTATTTCAAGTTTTTGAGCAATAACCTGGTTTTCCAAAGATTTCCTGAAAAACCTGCTTTAGAGAAAGATTTTGAAAATTATTTTCAGTGTGAAAAGATGCAGTTAGGTCCTAGCTTTCGATTAGTGAAGACCGCAAGCATCTGCGACTTTTCTGTCAAACGTTATTCAAAAAACATCCGAGTCCATTCTTTTTTTTTACCGACAATAGTTCAGGAATAAAATTTATGAACTGTTACGGGTCTAATTTGTATAAGTTTTTTGGCAGATTGCAAACCCTTAGAAACCTTAGAAAAAGCATTTATCTTTACGGCTTGTCCACGTAATACTTCGCTGATTAAGTTTTTAAAAAAAATTTTTTATTGTGGAAGTGGTTCAAGCCCAGCACCAGACAGAGGTTTTCACGCTGATTACGAATCGCGTGTTCTTTTAAAACAAAATTTTGGTTTTCGGCGAAAAAAGTTGAGTTTAAATTTTTAAAAACGCTTACTTTCAATTTTCTGACCTAGAAATTTTGTCTAAAAAATATCCAAAGTACACCAGTCGATAGACAATTAAATTCTCTTCAAAATGGTTCATTTTATTTGGACAGTGAATTTTTTCGCCGAGCACCAGGCTTTCCAGAGACTTCCAGGTTTCGGGCTATATTCAAGTCGGGGTTTGAAGTTTAGACTGCCAGTTCTCCCGTAAATCTTGAGTACCTAGCAAGAGCTCTGGTAAAGATAAAAATAAAGTTCTTTTGGCTGTACTGAGTACCGGAAGCTGCCTTCCCAAAAAGGAATGTCATAGCGTCACGAAAAATGTCACAGCCACAGAAACGTCACGGTAATAAAATAACGTTTCTGTGATCCACGTGGATCCTGGAATGAAATTTTTTTACTAAAGTGCAGACCGTTCTCTCCTCCACATAAGCGCTTGCAAATAAAAGTTTTCACCGGTGATTTTCCCTGAAACTTTTCAAAAATCCCCCAGATACCAGAGAAAAAAGGGCCGTTTTTGTCCCAGTGTCACGTTCTGGAAATTTTCTATAAAAGTGCTAAACTCAAACCAAATTTTCTCCTTTTTTTACTGAAGATAGAGGGCGTTGAGCTGCGTCAAATGGCGCTCGAACAAACTCACCGGCTTTAATAGTTTTTCAGATAACAGCGACTGAGTGTGTCAAAAATGTCACAATGTCACGCTTGAACAAGCCGTTTATTCGAAAGTTCATGAAGAAAGTGCCATTTTTGCCTTTTCTTCGCTGCGTTGATCATTAGTCACAGAAAAGAGAGAACGAGTAGACAGAATCTTGTTTAGATAAAAATAATAAAAAGGTATCTAAAAGTTTAAAAAAAAAGATAAAGTATCGTTATGAATCAAGGCCAAACTCAGTTCATTTTCTATTCACACGCTTCTTTTTGCTGTCTTTCTCCTGCTCATCATCATCATTATCACTGTCACTCTCTTCACGTGTCGGTGGACTCGACGAACGAAGATAATTACGATTGATGTTTTTGTATCGATACAGCTCGGATGATTCCTGTTCGGAGAAGAGAGGAGCGTTTGTCGATGAAAAACCATAGCTACGTGTCGGGGCACGAGATGCACTGGTGGTTGACAGTTCGGATGAATGATGGACTGTGGAGTCCGGTACGATAACTTCTCTTTTTTCTCTCTCGGATGTCGAAGCTGAGCCACCACCGAACAATTTTGATACTTTATCGCCAATTTGACCAAAATAAGATCGTTGACGTTCATCGTTGTTTGCCACTTTTCGCGATTTTGTTAGCATAACCTGATTGTGCAGTTGTTTCGATGTTATATTCCATCGTCTAAAACAAAGAGAAAATTAAAGACAGCGTCAGAAAAAGTCAGATTCTGAAGAGATGTGAAATGAACAAATGAAATGAACAAATTCTGAAGAGAAAGAAATGTGAGAATGATTCATTCGAAATAAAAATAGACTTTTGCAACTTTCTTCGAATTTATTTTCATTCATTTTCACGATTCAGAATGAACTCTGTCTACTCGTACGTCTATTCCCAATTAAATTGTTCATAACGGGTGGCGCAGAATAAATTAGACTGTTAGTTTCATTACAAACAATTAAATTGTGGATCAAAATGATCAAAAACACCGGCACTATCAATTTGTCCTCCACCTGGCTACCCACGAACAGTTCGAACAAAAGTCAATATCTCAAAGTCAAATGGCGCCTAGCTAAGAAAAAACGAGTATCAACAAGGAAATTGTCTGCTGACACGAATATTTCAAGAAGAAGCATCCAACGGATATTACGAGAAGATCTTGGATGCTTTCCGTACAAGAAAATCAAACAACCGAAATTGACTGATCTTCAAAAAGCCAAGAGGATCAAGTTTGCAAAGTGGGTGTTGAACAACTACACCAAAGAAGACACCGAAAAATGGGTTTTCACTGATGAAAAGTATTTTGACCTTGATGGGGTATACAATGTTCAGAACGACCGGGTGTGGGCAGCTAGTAGGGATGAAGCAGACAAGAAAGGTGGTGTACATCAAAAATCCAAATATCCAGCAAAGGTGATGGTGTGGTTGGGTGTATGTGGCAAGGGGCTTACGATGCTGGTGATTTTGGAAGACGGAACAATGAATGCAGAGAGATACATCCAGGACGTTTTTCCAATAGCTCTGAATGCGACAACAATATGTTGGGGACCAACTGGACATATCAGCAGGATGGGGCTAGACCTCACACGCATTTTTTGAGTCAAAAATGGTGTGATGATCATTTTCCTGCATTCATCCCGAAGACCCGTTGGCCACCAAATTCACCTGATTCATGTCCGTTGGATTACAGTTTGTGGAACGAGCTAGCACAAGCTATGAACTGGGACCACATAACAACGAAAGCAGCACTGGTCGACGAAATAAAACGTTCCATCGAAAAAGTTGAAAAAGAAAAAATTTTACGTTCTGTACGGGATTTTACGGTACGATTACGTTCGATCTAGAAAAATGGAGGAAACTATATTCGTTAAATAAAGGAGACCATGTGTGCAGAATTTGAAGGGCTATCTTTTGATAAAAAAATATGTTTCGATCAAACGGAAAATAGAGGAGAAATACTGAGAATACTAACAGTCTAATTTATTCTGCGCCACCCGTTAGCTTTTTCAGAACATAAAAAGCCAGTACCACATACATTTACAGGCAGACGTTTGGATATTCTGAACAAACTAGCATATCTGAAAATTGATTCTTGAAGCAAACCGTGACTTTTTTCTACAAACGGGTCGTACGTTATCGCACAACTTCAGTTATCTCTCTCGATGTCTTTCATGCGAAAAGCGATTTATCAGTTAGAAATTTTCCCCCATCAACAAACAGGAGTGCCACTACTTTTACTTGTAACTATTACCTATAAAATAAAACAGTGACCACGATTATTTTTTGAACAGCTTTTGACAGGAATGAGATCGAGACCTACGGTTTTCCGTATTCGATATCCAAGACCTGTAGGCATTTTTCTACAACCAAAAATGATTCATGGAAAAAATTCAAAGACCGGATTTTGAGAGGATCTTTGAAAAACCAGGTCATAGCTCTCAGAACTAACATAGAAATATGTCGACTTTTTTCAATGGATTTATAGTTCAACCTGTCCTCTACAAAATTAGGTCTAAACGACATCTTCCGAATCCATGGTTTGGACCTGGAAAGGCTTTTCTCCAAAGCACCAGGACTGGCCCTCTATCATGGCTGGGACCAGTAAAAATGATTGCACACATAGATTTTCGAGTATGGTGAATCCCATGACTACGTTAGTTTTCAGAATAAACTGCATGAAACAAGTGAAAACCTGTACTAAGCGAAATAAGCCATTTTTGATTATTTTCATCAAAAATTAAAGAATTCACAACTCAGACAACATCCAGCCTACTTCGGAATCGTAGAACGGAAAAATCGACATACTTCTATGTTAGTTCTGAGAGCTACGATTCAAAGATCCTCGCAAAATCCGGTCTTTGAGTTTTTTCATCAGTCATTTTTGGTTGTAAAAAGATGCGTACGAGAGACAGAAACGGGTCGAGTCGGACCCGATTGTCTCGGGTCGGGTTCGGGTCAATGTAAAAAATATTGATTCGGGTCGGGTCAGAGTAAAAAAAATTTCGGGTTTTATTCGGGTCTTGCCACTAGAACACAAATCAGGAGAGTTTCGTCGGTTACAATTCACTCGTCTATTTTTAAACATATGTCTTTTTTATCAAAACGAGAAGTATAGTGTTTTTTCCTTTCTGCTATGACGCTGTGTAATGTACAGTCTCGTATTGTTAAAGCAAAGAAAGAAAAGAAAAATATATAGAAAAACATGTTTAGTAATTCTCGTTCGTACACAGCATTGTTTTTTGATATATCTGTAACTGAATTCTTTTACCTTTATTGATAGACAGTTAGTC